CTGCATTATATTGCATTGCATTGCATTTTATTGTATTATTGCATTGTATTGTATTTTATTGTATTTTTTTTTTTCAGGAGTGCCTGGATAAATTTGGGGACAGCCTGCAGGAAATGATCAATTATCACATGGTAATTATCACAAAATCTGATTCTGGTATTTCATGATGGAAAGGTTTTTTTACCCCAGGAAAAATTCCTCAGGGAAAGATTCCTCTCAGGACTGTGGAGTTTGGGAGTGGGGAAATCACTGGGAATGAAGAATTATTTATTCATTTTAGGATGGACACAGAAAAAAACAGGAATTTGGGATGGGATAGACATGGAAAACCAGGAATTCGGGATGGGATGGACACAGAAAAAATTGGGAATTAAGGATGGGATGGACTCAGAAAACCGGGAATTCGGGATTGAGCCCTCACAGGAGGGATGTGAGGGGAACTGCTCCTGGATGAGGAATTCTGAGGAATTCTGCACCTGGGAATACTGTAGCTGTGGGAAAAGCTGTTATTTTTCAAAACAATTTATGTTTTTCCCTTCTTCAAAATAATTGATTTCCCCCCCCTTTTTCAAAACAATTTATATTTTTCCCTTCTTCAAAATAATTGATTTTTCCCTTTTTTCAAAATAATTGATTTTTTCCCCTCCTTCTTCAAAACAATTGCTATTTTTCCCTCTCTTCTCTCTTGCAGATCCTGTTTGACCAGGCCCAGAGGTCGGTCCGGCAGCAGCTGCACAATTTTGTCAAAGAGTGAGTTTGGAGTGTCTAATTTGGCTTTTCCCTTTGATTTTCAGCTTCCTGAGCTTCCCATCCCACTGGATAAACCCATTCCAAAATTCAGATCCTGCAGGGCTGAACCTCCAAGATAAACCCGTCCCAAAATAATAGTAATAAAATAAAAGCAAAATTATTATTAATAATAATAATAATAATAATAATAATAATAGTAGTAGTAGTAGTAGTAGTAGTAGTAATAAACCAGTAATAAAATCAAATCCATCTTTCCCAACTCTCTAAAGAATGACTTGATTGAAGCTGGGATGGACATGCTGGGCTGAGCTGGGATCCTGTTGGCACCCACAGTTTATTGTCACCTTCTAACCCTGATTTCCCCCAAATTCTCCCCAATTTCTCCCAAATTCTCTCCACTTCTGGTGCCCAGCGACATGAGGAAGTTCAAGGAGACCAAGAAGCAGTTTGACAGGGTGCGGGAGGACATGGAGATCTCGCTGGTGAAGAACAATCACAAACCCAAAAATAACCACAAAATAAACCCAGAAAATAACCATAAAATAAACCCAGAAAATTACCATAAAATAAACCTAAAATAACCATAAAATAACCCCCAACTGAATCATAAAAATAAAATAAAAAACATTATTCCCAACTCTCTTAAGACTTGACTGTAGCTGGGATGGGCACGCTGGGCTGAACCAGGATCCTGCTGGCACCCACAGTTTATTGTCACCTTCTAACCCTGATTTTCCCCAAATTCTCCCCAATTTCTCCCAAATTCTCTCCATTTCTGGTGGCCAGCGACATGAGGAAGTTCAAGGAGACCAAGAAGCAGTTTGACAGGGTGCGGGAGGACATGGAGATCTCGCTGGTGAAGAACAATCACAAACCCAAAAATAACCACAAAATAAACCCAGAAAATAACCATAAAATAAACCCAGAAAATTACCATAAAATAAACCTAAAATAACCATAAAATAACCCCCAACTGAATCATAAAAATAAAATAAAAAACATTATTCCCAACTCTCTTAAGACTTGACTGTAGCTGGGATGGGCGCGCCGGGCTGAACCAGGATCCTGCTGGCACCCACAGTTTATTGTCACCTTCTAACCCTGATTTCTCCCAATTTTTCCCCAAATTCTCCCCATGTCTGGTGGCCAGCGACGTGAGGAAGTTCAAGGAGACCAAGAAGCAGTTCGACAGGGTGCGGGAGGACATGGAGATCTCGCTGGTGAAGAACGCGCAGGCGCCGCGGCACAAACCCCACGAGGTGGAGGAGGCCACGGGCACCCTGAGCATCACCAGGAAATGCTTCAGGCACCTGGCCCTGGACTACGTGCTGCAGGTGGCTGCATTCTGCCCCCCCGATGCCTCAGTTTTTATCTTTTTTAGTTTTTCACGTTCTCTGCGTTTTAGTGGCTGGGTGTGGGCTCCGTAGGAGGGGAAATTATCCCGCTCAAATTCAGGCTTTGCCTGATTTTCCTGACTTTTTTCCGTTTTTTAAATTTAAATTTAAATGCTGCGTGAAGGTCTCTTCGCACAAAAGGGATGCTGGATTTGATTTGGTTTATTTTTTTTTTGGTTTAGAGATGGGGCAGCTGAGAGGTGTTTGAAAAACTTTTATTTTTAGTCTCATGTGAAGGCTGAGACAATACAGATGTTATAATTCACACCACCACAGTCAGAATCCAATTATTTCCTAATTACAATACACTAGAAGTGATTTTTTCCTTATCAATTTTAGTTTTACCATCTTATAGATGCTTTAAAGTCAATTATCTAAAATAATACCCTGGAAAAGCAGGAATTGCATCACGGGGAGATGTGGCTGCATGGCTGTGAGAGTGTGAGGCCTGGCAGCTTTTTATATTTGTTATTTATATAACAAATATTAAAAAATTTTGTTATTTATAACACCCTTTTCTGACCCAGAGATGGGACAGCTGAGAGGTGTTTGAAAAACTTTTATTTTATTTTCAGTCTCATGTGAAGGGTGAGATGTTATAATTCATGCCACCACAATCAAAAATTAACTATTTCCTATTTACAATCCACTAAAAGTAATTTTTTTCCTTATCAATTTTAATTTTACCATCTTGTAGATGCTTTAAAATCAATTATCTAAAATCACCCTTGGATTTTTTCCCCCCCCCAGATCAACGTGCTGCAGGCCAAGAAGAAATTCGAGATCCTGGATGCGGTAAGAAAAGAGCCCTAGGTGCTCCTCAGGGAGAAAATCCAATTTTTGGGGGGATTTTCAGGGTGTTGCTTTCCCCTCTTTGTGCCCACAACAAAGTGGAAGAGGGAAAAATTGCTTTGGAAAGGCAAAAAAGGAAGAATTAAGAAAGAAAAATGAAATATGGTAAAAATAATTTTTTTGGGGTGGGAAAAGGGATAAATTGCTTTAGGAAAGTAAAAAAATAAGAGGTTTAAACTATTTTTCATGGGGAAAAAGAATAAAATATTATGGACTATATGGAATTTATGGAATATTATTGCATTTTTGAAATATTACGGAATTCATGGAATAAAGATGGAAAAATTCCATCTTTAATATTTTTAATATTCAATTCAATTCCAAACGTGCAAGCCCAGAACTGTGAGGACTCCAGCTGTGCTTTCTCTCCCCAGATGTTGTCCTTCATGCACGCCCAGTTCACCTTCTTCCAGCAGGGCTCCAGCCTCCTGCAGGAGCTCGAGCCCTACATGAAGAAACTGGCCAGCGAGGTGAGGCTGCACCCCAAACAGCTTTTGGGGGTCCCCAGTTCCTGCCGGGGGCTGGGGCAGCGCCCAGATGGGCCATTTTGCCCCTTTTTGTCCTTTTTTTGTCCTTTTCTGCCTCTTTTTGCCCCTTTTTTTGCTCTTTCTTGCCTCCTTTTTCCCTTTTTTTTCCCCTCCTTTTTGCCCTTTCCCCCTCTTTTTCTTCTCCTTTTCCCCCTCCTGAGTGGCTGCCCACCCAGACTTGGCATTTTACCCCT